CTGGTCATGTATATACAGCACGATTAATATCCTAAACAGCAAGACCTTGCCAATATTTGTAACTTATTTACTACTCTGGCAGATCCCATAAAAGAATAACAACTCAAAATTGATAACTAGGTGAATTTAGTGACAAAATTTTTGCTGACTCATTGGACACATAACATCTTTTATTTACACAAATCAGAGTTAACTCTATCTACGCACCATTTGTAAGACCCCGCATATTCAAATAAGTCCTTAATAACTTAACCAACCAAATTACCAGTTTGATGATCTAAACATAACTTCAATTTTCTTTCACGACTGTCATTCTATGAACGTATGATAGTCTTAAATGATTTAATACACTGTATTTTATCTTTCATACAAGACTATTAGCTCCTTCAAGAATAAGATGTTTTTTCTTATTCATGATCACACAAACCATATTGAGTGTCTGCTCTATCAGATGCAACGCATCTGTTATCTCTACTTCTCCAAACAATCCTGTGAGGTAGATCTTATGACTTTATAAGCAAAGAATCAGATTCTAAAAAGTAATCATATGCTCAAAGTCAATGTGATAATCTCAACTATTAATATTTTTCAGCAAATATTTATTCCAGTCCCCTCCTCACTGTGGACAGAGTGACTTGATATGGCTAATACAAGGTTTCTCAACCTCAGCACTACTGACATTTTGGGCTGATAATGCTTTGTTGTAGGGGGCTGTCCTGTGCATTGTAAGATGTTTAGCAGAATCCCTGGCCTCTACTCACTAGATGGCAGTAGTACCCCCTCCCAAGTTTAGCCAACTAAAAATATCTCCGGATACTCAATGTCCACAGAGGCCTTACACATGCTGATGCAATTTAGCCTCGCTCTGGCATTCCAGTGATCAGCCATGACTAACAGCATGGCCTGAGCAGCCACTGACTGATTTAGCCTGGGACCTAGCAGGAACATAAACTGAGAAGATCTAAACCTACCCCCACGTAGTCTAGATCAGCCTAGGCCCAGCCTCAATCAGCAGAAGCTCAGGCAATATACAGACCCACGAGTATGGAAATAAATGCTTATTATTTTAAACCACTAAGTTCTAGGGTGTTCTACTATGGAGCACCATTGTGGCAATTGCTGACAAATACAGCCACTAAAAGGGTAAGCCAGGATTCAAAATCGAGGCCTATCTGACTCAAAAAACCCACTAACTTGACTATATCTAAGAGTTTTTCAATGGGATTAATATTCCCACCCAGGATATGTTTGGTATACAGTAGAGATACGATAAAACTCTACTAA